GCAGAAAAAGTACCTGACAAAGTACAATGTCCATCCATGATAAAAACCTTTAACCTTCTCTCTAGAGGAACATACCTCAACATAATAAAGGCCTTATATGAAAAACATCATACTCAATGGGGAAAAACAAAGAGCTTTTCCCCTAAGGTCAGGAACAAGACCAGGATGTCCACTCTCACCACTTGTATTCAACATAGTACTGGGAATTCTGGCCATAGCAATCAGACAATAAAAAGAAATAAAAGGTATCCAAATTGGTAAGGAAGAAGTAAAACTGTCACTGTTTGCAGATGAAAGGATATTATGTATAGAAAACCCCAAAAAACTTCTAGAAAAACTATTAGAACTGATAAATGAATTCAGTGAAGTCGCAGGATACAAACTCAATATGTAGAAATTCATTGCATTGCTGTACACTAATAATGAACTAGCTGAAAGACAAATTAAGCCAACAATCCCATTTATAATTGCACCAACAATAATAAAATACCTGGGAATAAACTTAACCAAGGAGGTGAAAGACCTGTACTCTGAAAACTATAAACATTGATGAAAGAAATTGAAGATGACACAGAGAAATGGAAAAACATTCCATGCTCAGGGATTGGGAGGACAAACATAATTTGTATGGAACCACAAAAAAACCTCAAATAGCCAAAGCAATATTGAAAAAGAAGAACAAAACTGGAGGTATCACAATCCTAAATTTCAAGATAGACTACAAAGCTGTAGTCATCAAAACAGTATGGTACTAGCACAAAAATAGACACATAGATCAATGAATGGAACAGAATAGAGAGCCCAGAAATAAACCTATGATTATATGGTCAATTAACTTTGACAAAGGAGGCAGGAATATCCAATGGGAAAAAGACAGTCTCTTCAACAAATGGTGTTGGGAAAACTGGACAGCTACATGCAGAAGAATGAAACTGGACCACTTTCTTACACCACACACAAAAACAAATTCAAATGGATTAAAGATCTAAATGTGAGACTGAAACCATAAAAATCCTCAAAGAGAGCACAGACAATAATTTCTCTGACATTGACTATAGCAACATTTTTCTAGATATGTCTCCTGAGGCAAGGGGAACAAAAGCAAAATTAATCTATTGGGACTACATCAAAATAAAAAGCTTCTACACAGCCAAGGAAACAATCAAAAAAACTAAAAGGCAACCTATTGAATGGGAGAAGATATTTGCAAATGACATATCTGATAAAGGGTTCGTAGACACAATATATAAAGAACTTATACAACTCAACACCCAAAAACCAAATAATCCAATAAAAGTTGGGCAGAAGACGTGAACAGACATTTCTTCAAAGAAGACGTACAGATGGCTAACAGAGACATAAATAAATACTCACCACTACTCATTGTCAGGGAAATGCAAATCAAAACTATAATGAGATATCACATCACACTTGTCAGAATGGCTATAATCAACAACACAGGAAACAACAGGTCATTGGCAAAGATGCGGAGAAAGGGGACCCCTTCTGCACTATTGCTGGAATGCAAGCTGGGGCAGCCACTCTGGAAAACAGTATGGAGGTTCCTCAAAAAGTTAAAAATAGAGCTACCCTATAACCCAGCAATTGCACTACTAGGTATTTACCCAAAGAACATGACAACACTAATCTAAAGGAATACACACACCCCTATGTTTATAGCAGTATTATTTACAATGGCCAAGATAAGGAAACAGTCCAAGTGTCCATCGACAGATGAATGGATAAAGAAGATGTGGTGTATGTATACAATGAAATATTACTCAGCCGTAAAAAAGAATGAAATCTTGCCATTTGCAATGATCTGGATGGAACTAGAGAGTATAATGCTAAGTGAAATAAGTCAGAGAAAGACAAATACCATCTGATGTCACTCATATGTGGAATTTAAGAAACAAATGGACAAAGAAAAAAAGATGAACAAGAAACTAGACTCTTAAATACAGAGAACAAATTGTTGGTTACCAGAGGGGAGCTGGGAGGGGGAGAATAGGTGAAATAGTGAAGGGGATTAAGAGTACACGTACTGTGATGAGCACTGAGTAATGTATAGAATTGTTGAATCACTCACTATGTTGTGCACTGGAAACTAATATAACACTGTATGTTAATTACACTGGAATTAAAATAAAAAAACAAAAAATAATCCCACTAATGATCTAAAACAAAAGCAAATAGTGCCAATAGGAGAGAAGTATTTAGTGAAGGTGCCCTTTCCCACCTCACTTTAGAAGCAGTCACAAGTACTAGCAGTATCTTGTGTATCTTTCTAGAAACTTTCTAAGGATGTGCAAGCATGTGAATATAGGTATAATTTTCCCTCCTTATACAAATGGGATCCTTCTAAACAATGTTCTGCATTGATTTTTCCCAATAATATATTTTTAGCAGAGCCAATCAGAACATGAAAGTCACTATTTTAAAGTGTACAAGTCAGTGGTTTTTAGTATATTCAACTGTGTTGTGTACCCATCACCACTGTCTAATTCCAGGGCATTTCCATCACTCCCAAAAGAAACACTGTAGCTCTTAGCAGTTATTTCCAATTTGCCCTCCTCTTCTATCCCCTGGCAACCACTAATCTACTCTCTGGCTCTATGGATTTACCTTTTTTGGACATATGAGTGGAATCCTATAGTATGTGGTGTCTTGTGTCTGGCTTTTTCCCCCTTGCATGTTTTCAAGTTTCACTCATGTTGTACCCTTTATCAGTACTTCATTCCATTTTATGGCCCAATAATATTCCACTGGGTGGATATGCTGCATTTTGTCTACCCATTTGTCTATTGATAGATACTTGGTTGTTTCCACTTTTTATTATGTAGCATTATGAATAATGAATAATGCTACATAATAAAAAGGATGTGCAAGCATGTGAACATAGGTATAGTTTTCCCTCCTTATACAAGTGGGATTCTTCGAAACAATGTTCTGCATTGATTTTGCTATGATGACAAGTTTTTGTGTGAATGTGTTTTCATTTCTCTTGGGTATATGCCTAAGAGTGGAATTGCTGGGTCATATGGAAATTCTATATTTAACTTTTTGAGGAACTGCCAAACTTTCTTGCACACTGGCCTCACCGTTTTACATTCCCAGCATAAATGAGGGTTATAGTTTTTCCTTCATCCTCACACTCCTTTTTCATTTTAAAAAATTATTGCTAATATTAGTGGATAAGGAATGTTATCTCCTTGTGGTTTTGATTTGCATTTCCCTAATGAGTAATGATGTTGAACATCTCCTCATGTGCTTATTGGCCATCTGTACATCTCTGGGGAGATGTTTATTCAAGTCCTTTGTTTTTAAATTGGCTTGTGTTTTTGCTGTTGAGTCATGGGTTTTTAAAAATATATTCTAGGTAGTAGTTGCTTAGCAGATATAGGATTTGCAAATATTTCTCCCATTCTGTGGGTTGTCTTTTCATTTTCCTTTTGGTGTTCTTTGACCTAAGAGAGTTTTCAGTTTTGGCAAAGCCCAATTTGTTTCACTGCTTGTGCTTTTAGTTTCATATCTAGGAAACCATCCCCTAATCCTAGGTCACACAGATATAATGTTTTCTCCTAATAGTTTAAGAGTTTTCCTTATTACATTTAGGTCCTTGATCCATTTTGAGTTACTTTTTGTGTCTGGTGGGAAGTAGGGGTCCAAATTCATTCTTTCATGTGTGGATATCCAGTTGTCCCAGACCATTTGTTGAAAAGATTATTCTTTCCTGGGACCAATATATTTGGGGCATAAATTCATATTTCATATATATATGTTTCCTATTCTTTTCAATACTATGTATCTTATTTTTAAAGAACTGTTAATAATAAAGCATTCATCAATAAATATTTACTGAGAGTCTCCACTACTAGCTTCTGAGCATACAGCTGTGAATGAGACCAACACAATTCCTGTCCTAAATGAGTGTACATTCTAGAGGGGTACACAGACAATGAATTATCCAGGAAAGGGGCCAATAAAACAACAGCAATTGAGAACTATACGAGGTAACAAATCGGAGGGTGGGGTGGAGAATAAGGGGCTGGGTGAGGGTGTACCTGATCAGAAGGCCAGTCTTCCCAGAGGAATCAGAGACCAGCTGTGCAGTCTAGCAGCACTAGTTCGGCTTGCTGGAGGAAATGGAAAGAGATAGGGGAGCCCTGGGATTGTAGAGTAAGGGGTGAAGTGGTGAGAAATGCGGGGGAGACCAGCTAGGAAATAAGAGCAATGGAGTGACTGGGGCACAGCTGATTTGCACTTTGGGAAGATCACAAAAGTCGGCTCTATTGAGACTAGATTGGGGGTTGGGCGTGGTGGAGGCTGCGGATCAGCTGCGGTGTTATTTTCCTAAGAAACTAGGCGTGAAGGAGGGGTTTGGGTCCGTAGGGCAGGGACGTGGAGCCAAGTGGAGGGACTCCAGACTGAATCCGGGTTGAGGGGGTGGGGTGGAGGAGTTCAGGCAACAATGAGTAAAGGCTGAGGCGGTGTGGGACAGTACAAAGTTTAGTAGGAAATGCAATTGGAAGAGCGTAGGCAGGGGTCCCGGTGGAGGGGCTGGGTGGCGGGGAAGGATCTGGGGGCACTTCGCGCAAGGTCTATGAGCCAAAGGCCAGCGGCAGCTGGGCTGTTCGCAGTTCAGTGAGTCCAGCCTGCTGCCCGAACCCTGACTCTCCCAGTTCCCAGCTATGTGACCTCGGGCAAGGGACTCAAGCTATCTGTGCCTCAGTTTCCTCACATTTGTGAGTGTGAAGATAGCTGGCTGCTATTACTAATCTACTACCCAGATGAAAGATACGATTGTTAAGTCAGGCGAGCGTCGTTCCCCATGCAGGGAGTCAGACCGCAGCTGGCGAGGTCGGGGTCGGCCGAAGTCCCCAGGCTCGGCGGCAGGCAGGGCCCGCGGGGCCGCGCCTGGGCGGCGCCGACCATCCCCAGCCCGGCAAGCCTCGCGCGGCGCCCCTCGGGAAAGAGCCACGCTGTCCATCGACAGATGAATGGATAAAGAAGATGTGGT